TGTTGTTTCATTCCAAATCCATTGTGGTGGTGTATAGAGCCAAGGATGTTAGAATTGTGTCGATGTCCCAATATTTCTGGACCGGACTGTAATATACTATTTTCTGTGTGGTGATGCCTCATGTCTACAATAGCCTTGGTACTGATTCAGTCTCAGGCATGCTGGCTAAAATTGCCTATCAAAATGATATTTGAGGATGCTTAGTGTTTCCTGTTTCCAGTAACAGATGATTGAGAGAAATAGATATTTGCTAAGTGAAAATAATAATTTATTAAATTTACAGTATATGTTGCCCAACTCCCAACAGCTCTGGGTGGTTTACAAGTTGTTTGAAACATTAAAAAACAAGAAAAACAATAAGAGACCAAAAAAAAAAGGGTAAAGATGGCAGGATGACAAAACCAGGTGGGAACAACGGAAAACAATCCACATAGTCCAAAGGAGGCTTCAAACCAACATTTTCAAGGCTCTTCAAAACACTAGCAGGGTGGGGGCCGTTTTGATCTTGGGAGAACCTCATTCCAGAGGACAGACGCTACTATAGAGAAGGTGCACTTCTGGGATTCCGATAGATGGCATTGTTTAGTCAAAGGAACCTGGAGTGCACCAACCCTGCCAGATCAAATCGGCCGTCCAGATACTATGGGAGATAGGTGATCCCTCAGGTAACCAGGCTCTATGCCATATAGGGCTTTATAGGTAATGACCAGCATCTTGAATCAAATTGGCAACTAGTGTAGCTCATGAAACAGAGGTGTTACATGGGTATACCGAGGCATGCCCATCACTGCCCGCACTGCTGCATTCTGGACCAATGGAAGCTTCCAGGTGGTCTTCAAGGCAGCCCCATGTAGAGTGCATTGCAGTAGTCAAGTCATGAGGTGACCAGGGCATGAATTAATAGAAGTTGCTGACCAGGATTTCATCCTGTTCTGTTATGTAACTTTTTGTAATCTTGCAAGATCGTACACAAACATATTCTTCTTTTGATGGAGTAAAATATGGGGAATCTGCATGAAATAGTAGTGACTGTTTACTGCCCCAAAATAAATAATAACATGTATTTTTAAAAATGTAGTCTCCTTTGAGATGAGCACCACAGCTGGAGACTTCATGGATATATCAGTGTAGTTTTCTTTCACAGTAGTTTTCTTTCTTCCTAGCCAGTGTTGTCTGATTTTGAAAAGCTAAGCAAGATTGGATCTGGTTAGTACTTGGGTAGGAGATAAGCAGAAAATACCAGTACAAAAGGCTACACTGGGAAGTAATTAAAAAAAAAATCCCAAAAGGTAGCAAGGATAAACCACTTCCATATTGTTATCAAGAAAATTATATAAACGTGTCCATGTTGTCATCTCAAACTGGACTTGAGATAGCCTTTATCTGCAGCATGTAATAGGTGTGATAATTTTTTTTAATTTTTATTTTTTTTACAGCCAGGAGTGAACAGTATGGATTCTCAAATTGGTATGTATAAATAATCAATTATTTGTTAATTAATTTAAGTTGTAAGAAATATTATTTTTTCTAATTAAAATGAATTAAAATTTGGTGTTAATTATCAAAGGAGAATTTGAAAATGCCAATTTTCAAATTCTTCTTTGATAATACTTAAAGAGGTTCAGAGAAAAGAACAAATCTTTGCAAGGGAAAATACTAACAATTTTTGTAGTTAGGGGAAGGGATCCTAACAACAGAGTGGTCAGGATTATGTGAGCTCATCAGCTACAGAATGCTAGGGGAGAAATTAAAAGGACATGGTTGGCTAATTAGATCATTGCCAGGAGCACATACATACATACATACATACATAGAGCATGTTGTTATGGCTCCCATTTTAGTATCAGAAAAATATTGCTTATCTTAAACACAGTTGAGTTTAGGTTGGGGAGTGATCTTCAGCATCAATGCTAAAATACTACTAGACATTGAATTTTTAATCCAGTTTCAGAATTAGTTGTCTGAGGCACTAACTGATCTGATTCATGCTACAGTGGTACCTCGGGTCACGAACGCTTCTGTTCACGACCAATTTGGGTCACGAACAGCACTGTTCGCAAAATTTTGCTTCCGTTCGCGAACTCCGCATCAGGTGACGAACAGGATCCGCGGCCATTTTCCTTGCTGTGACACGTGGTCGTGGCTTCCTGTAGAGAGGGGGACTCTCCCTCCAAACAATAACCGCCTCCCCACCCGCCTTCCTGTCCTCCACACCTCAAGCAAGGTTAGCGTTCTCTCTCTTCATAGTGTACTGTACTGTACTTTGTGTCATATTTTTGTGGTTTAAAAAAAAAAGTAGAGAGGGGGACTCTCCCTCCAAACAATAACCGCCTCCCCACCCGCCTTCCTGTCCTCCACACCTCAAGCAAGGTTAGCGTTCTCTCTCTTCATAGTGTACTGTACTGTACTTTGTGTCATATTTTTGTGGTTTAAAAAAAAAAAGAGCGGATTAACCGTATTTACATTGAACCTTATGGGAAAATTTGATTCGGGTTGGGACCAATTTGGGTCGCACCCAGAGTCGCGGAATGAATTAAGTTCGTGACCCGAGGTACCACTGTATATGCTTACTTAACTACATTCGATCAGCAACTGTTCCAAGTTACAACAATGCTAAACGAATGGTTACAACTGTCCCAGCAGCTCCATAGTCACATGATCACAATCTGGGAGCTTAGCAACCTGTTCACATTTAATGCCTGCTTGCCAAGCACCCGTGACCACATGATCACTATTTGCAACCTTTCCTGCTGACTTCCCCAGAAAGTCAATGGGGAAGCTGGCAGGGAAGGTTGCAAGTTGCTGGAACAAGTCTGCGCACCCTTCCCAGCCCCTCTGTGCTCATGCCAGCTACTTGTGCACCCCTGCACACCCTCCCTGATCCTCACCACACATCCCTCGCACTCTTACATACCCCCTTGAACACTCCCCCAACCCTCTCATGCACCCCCTCACACCCTCCCCAACCCATGCAGCACCTCTCATTGTACCCCCTTGCATCCTCCTCAACCCACACAGCACCTGCCACACGCCTCCTTACACTTTCATGCACCCTCCCTGACCCGTGCCTCTCACACACCCTGCCTGACCCCCGTGGCACCTCTCACACACCCCTCACACCCTCTCAGTTCTCTTGTGCACCTGTGCCACATCTTTTGCCCACCTTCCCCAACCTCCTCGCTCCCTTCCCCATCCAGCAGCAGCCACTTACTTGCCTGCGGGCCTGGGACTTGCAACTGACTTTGGTTGTGGGAAGCTGGCCAGAAGTTGCCTTGCCTAACAACCATGGGATTCAGTTAACAACAGCAACCAGGACTGCACGGGTTGCCATCGCTAAGCAATGCGCTTGTACTTTAGCGATGGAAATTCTGGTCCTAATTGCTGTCATAAGTCAAGGACTGCCTGTATTGTCTTTGAATAACAATTTTTGCTAAGCCATAAAAAGGTAATTACAGAGCACAATGGCTAAGTTCACACAACCAACTAAAGTGAATCCAACCAAGTCAACGTAACCTGTTGTGACTTTGCATGGTATATGAATCTAATTACTGCTCTGGCAGAGAAGTACTCAGAATATTTGGCATGTTTAGTGCTCTCTTTGGAAATCAGGTAGTTAAAGCATGATGTGGTTGCATGTAATACATACCTAATATCTGGACACTCATGATCTGCCTTTTTATTTTTTATTGTTTCTGCCTTTTTTTTAAGTGTAAGCTGCGAGTGTCTAAATTGTATTAAATAAATGTGGCCTCTGCCAAAATGTAAATCCATGACATTCTGCCTGAAATAGTTGCTAGCAAGTAAGCTGTTAAGTATAGGACTTATGTGCCAATTTACTTCAATACATTTGAAAGCTTTTTGAATCACATTAAGCAAAGCAGGAAGGGTCTATTTTAGTATTTCCATAAAATTGGTTTTTCATTTGATTTTTTTTCATAGGTTTAGCCCCCCCTGGGACTCAGGTAAGAAAGAACATTTTGTTTTCTTGATAATTCAGTTACTTCTAGCTAGTTTCCATATTTCCCCTCCCTCTTATATTAAAGTAAGCACTTTAATATAAGTGCTTATATTAATCTAATCTAATGAGTGCTTAGAACACTCATACCTAGATACAACATTTGTATAGGATAAATAATGTGGGTAAAATACAACAACTTGGCTTCAGAACCCAGAACCTGTATCACATTCATACACACAGTTATCAGTTACAATGTTGTGAGCTATATGCAACCTTTATGTGCATTCATTCTGTTCCAATGTATTACATTAAATTAAATTCAAAATGCAGTAAACATTTTCCTTTGATGAGATTGATTCAAAAATGCTTAATTATGGCAGGATCGTGCCTGATGTTTCAGCTAGTTCTGATTTGTTATATTCACACCAGAACAAACTGTTAACTAATAGTAAGTTTGGGTGTTAATAAACCATTGTTAAACATTATCCAGAATTCTTAACCAGGAAAATCTATGGGGTGGTCAAAATCTACATGATCTGTCATAATACAAGCCTTGCCTTGGCATGTGTACAAATTGGGCAGGGCTTAGATCACAATGCCATGCCTGCTGTCTTGCAGATTTTTGAGCCTTTCTCCCGACACACAGACACCCCTGTTCTCAACTAATTGTAGTTTATTATTTATTTGTTTTATTAATTTTTTTTTATGCCACCTGTCTCCCAGAGACTCTGGTAATGAAAACAGAATGAAATACTTTTTAATCTCCTTGTAACTATGATGGAACAAGAGCGAGAAGCAAGCTTGTTGCATGTAAACTTGAGACTTAGAACTGTGACTAAATTAGGCTACATTTCTGCAATTTGAAAGTTCTGTTCCTTAATAGCTAATATAGAATTGATTAGAAATCCAGAACTTGTCATATCATGTAAGAACAGTATATTTATCTCCAGTCAGGGTGTTTTGAATATCTTAGGGAACATTTTTATAATGCAAATATGCACAGAAACACAGTTTTTAAATTTTAAAATGTTTATGTTACTTATTGAATCCTTAATCCTTAAGAATTTTCAGGGGCATAAATAAGATTTAAATAAAACACTAATGATCGTTCTCATGACCAACACCTCTAGCCTCCACTTTTCTTCTAAGGGAAGTATGTGCCAGTTAAGGAAAATAAAAGTCTCCCTCCAGTGAGCTTGATTCCTTGTGATTATTAACATGTTGATGAATTGTCTTAGCTTCATTGTGAAAGTGATATTCCATTATCATCTTCTTGGATGTATTTTTCAACTTCATTTCCTACAGCCCACAGATTTGATTCTGGTAAGGTTTCTAAGATCAGAGTTAGTTAGGTGCTGCCATCTGCTGTAAATAATTAAGTGTGGCTTATAGAAAGAAGGCATTGAAAAGGACAGCAAGTACTGTCCTGAAATCTCAAATTCCACATCCACACATTTGAATAGCATTCATCTGTAGTGTAAATTTATTCTCTGTCTCCATCACTTTTTTTGAGTGATTTTTATTTCAGACATAGTTCTTTGCATATAGGTATGAAACTACCTGTTACAAAATAATTAAGATCATACTCCATTACTTATCAGCACATTTGAGACTAGGCTGGATTACTATAATCAGTGATTGTATTTCTATATAATGCAGATTTACTAAAAATAAATAACACATTAAATTATCGTTAATGAAGCTAGGCTGTTTTGGTAAGTGTTGTTACAATTAATGGAAGCAGGAGCTTCCTGTTCTCCATCATTGTAACTTAAGTAGTTGTCATTTCTGAATAAGTTCTATTATGTAAATTGGGTTATGTTTCGTTGTGCGTACACATAGCTTCAAACTTACAATCTCTTCTATATATTTGAGTCACAAACAAGATCATAAAAATATGATTAGCATAATTGAATAGAGATGGTAATACTTTCTTATGATCTTAAAATGACAATTTCCTTCATTTATGTTGAACATGTCAGATAATGTTCAGTAAGGATTGGTTGCAATTGCTTTGCTCTTGGAAATGCAACTCAGAAATTGGAATATTAACTCACAGGATTTGGTCTTGTCTAGGTGGCACATTTTAGACTGCCATCAACAATTTATTAATATGACTGTGTGAATCACTGTGTAATAACCAAGCATGCATCCCTCTTGGTTGTATCCCTAACATTTAAAAGCTGTGAAGACAACCAGATTGTGGACTCTTCAGCCATTGGGACTATCTAAAAGTATTGTATAACACTGAAAGAAATAAATTGATTTACAACGCCAAATTATTTGTTTCGTTTGTTAACATTTGATAAAGGGGCAAAAAGCAGTCTGATCAAAACCATTGTTTTTTAAAATACAGAAATAAAATTAAGGAACAAGGTTATCTCTCTTATCTCTTTAACAAAAACATGCTGCATTTAACTGGATTAAATCTTAGCTCATATTCTCTTTATTTAGCCCACACCTCCAGTTGTTTGTTCAGTGCAACAGGCCACTCCAACCAATAACTCTACTAATGAAGAGCCTTCAAAACAGGTATCACATTTCTCTCTTAAACTTTTGTCATGCCTTATCTTAAAATCCTGAGACAGAAGTTTTCTTTATGATGTTTTGTTTTTCATAGAAATCTATGTGGTCAGAGCATAAGTCACCAGATGGAAGAACATACTATTATAATACTGAGACCAAGCAGTCTACATGGGAGAAGCCAGATGATCTTAAAACCCCTGCAGAGGTAAAAGAAGCAACTATAATTATTTAGCTACCCATGTTTCACTGAATTAAAAAATGCATGTATTACTAAGAAAAATGTTCCTTTCTGGATGCTACCCTTAATTTTACTCTAGTACCCTAGTCTTCATATACATTTCATGTAAATGCTGCGCTAGGCAGAAGATGCCCAAAGAGTTTTATTCCATGAAAGGAATTATATGTAATTAGTATCTTTGTTTCTAATGGCAATTTTGCATCTCCAACCAAAGATTTTGATAGCATTTTACTGCGTTCAGTTCTGTATTATAGAATGGTTTCAAATATTGTGGTTTTTTTCCCCCCTTCCTTAGCAATTGTTGTCAAAATGCCCATGGAAAGAATATAAATCTGATTCTGGAAAGCCTTATTATTACAACTCTCAAACAAAGGAGTCACGCTGGGCAAAACCCAAAGAACTTGAAGATCTTGAAGGTAATTGTCATAAAGTTTTCTCTGTCCTTTTATGGGCTGCTTCATAGGTAACAGCAGCAATCCCAGTTAGTGAAGGTAGGAAATTCAGACCATATAATAAAATAATCTAAACTATTATAAATGTTTTAACTAGAGGAGCAGTTGGATAAATTATCATTGACAAGAGAGAAAAGGACACAGTCACCCTCAGTAACTACAGAACCAGTAGCTGTTCTCAGAATGTTATTGCACTGACAGCAGTTCTTAGGCAGTATTTGTTTTAAATAGCTGGGACTGGAACTGGCAGGAATTTTATGTTCCAAAATTACTACTGAATTATAGTCTCCTGCTCACAAATCAGTGTTCATATGAAAAGATCCAAGAAGTCTGTGTATTTTTTAAATATAATTTTTAAATATAAAAGAGGGATAAATTCTCTTCTGTAGATCCAATAAGAAAACATTTTCCAGGTCATTCTCTTGGTTTATCATTTGTATTTCCCTTTTAATTTTTAAAACT